TCTGAATGTATCTGACATCAGGAATGAAGCTACCATTAGCACTGAGATACAATTTGAAGTGGAAACTGAATGTTGTATACCCAAGTGGATTAATGGCACTACTAGCTTTGCCATTAAGAGCTAAAAATAGTGGGATAGAGCTCATGTGTCTGATGGCAAGCTCAAACGGACTCCGAGGTCTTTGCAAAAATGGGAAGAAGTTGTGTTTGCTCAAAAGACAGCAACATTAGGCCTTAGAGATCACCTGTGTGATCTGAAATGTTGCAATATATTTTGAAAAAAAATCTAATAAGTTGCTGCCCCTCAGATGTTAGTTCCTGCTTCATTTCCAGAGATACAGTCAATGATCATGTCCATTGCAGTGCAAAACAGGGAGGTTACTCTAACATCCACTGCTGTGTTCCAGTGGATATGCCTCCTGGTAATTGGTACATTACATCTGAGGAGTTGCAGCTTATTAAAATTTACTAACATGATGGTAGACATTCATATCCTCAGTCTCCTGTTTAGTGAAGTCCACTTGTCTTGGGTAGGGGACCAAAGCCATGGAAAGTGTTGCAACCCAGGACATATAAAGGAAATATAAACTAAGTAATGATACTTGGTTTAGGTCCTCCCTCCACCAAAACCTCACAAAGAGAATACTGGAAAGCTAGAGATATGTCTGTGTGTACTCCCCAAATATTGTCTTGTGCATAGCTGTTCCTGCCTCTTATACCCAAGGCCTCAAGGAAAAACTTTAAAGTGATGCCTGGGATATGCTCAGGACTGTTGTTCAGAGGATATCCATGCTCGAAATCATGCAGGTTGAGTGGGACCCATGAAGGTTTTGGATCTTTGGGCTTTGCTGGGTCATGGTGAGCCAGTAAGCTCATGGCACATCTGAATGTTTCATTGCAACTCTGTTAATGTACAGAAAGTGTCATCACTTGTTTTAAATCAGTGAGTAAAGTACCCTTCTCACCCCTCTCTTGGACTCTGCGGCCCATGATTAATGTAACATATTCCATAGCATTCTGCAGGTGTTATGAGGGTCTGTTCATTTGACACCCAGGGAGCAGTGTCCTATTTAGGCATTTTTTATTCCCTGGATTCAAAAAGCAAACTCAGTGTTGAAATTATCAGCATTGTTTTTCAGTGTCATGGTGTGCTGAACAAGATAAGTCCTTGGTTTCTGTCCCTGTAGTTGCTATGCAACTGTCACCTACTCTCTGTAGCTCTTGGTGCTACCCTTAGGTCAGACAGTAGCTGGAACTACGGGTCAGAGGAGAGTAGATGCACAGGCAGGGAAAACATCTCTTGCAGCACTAAGTTCAGTCACTTGCTGTATCAGCAAACACTGATAATTATATCACCACCTTCTTGTATTTCGTTCTTTTGGCTTCCAGCCTCAACTTCCTGAATTGTTTCATTCTTGTAGATGGAGAGGAATCCGTGTGTTTCACCAATTTGTCATGACTGATTCTGTTAGACTATTGTATTTGTAATGATCAAATAGGTGGTAAGAAACCTTTGTGATTTTGGTCTCCAGAATTCCCCTTCTCTTTTTCTTATTTTTGTATTAATGTATTTTTTATGATGAGTCTTCACACACCCAAGAGTTTACAGAGGCAAGGGCTGATTTTTGCGATTGTTTTACTTTGTTACTATGAGAACTTAACCTCCTATACTCTGATCCTGAATACAGCAGTGCTCTTCAGCCTCTGGAGTGATTTGCTGGAGATGGATTGTGGAGATGGTCTGCAAGGTCTTGCTTAGCTGAGCAATGGAAAACTTTTGAAATGCACCTAGAGTTCAGAACTTGTGCTGGATCTGTACAAAAATATTAGCACTTATGTACACTGCTACAGTTAAAACCAGTCCTTTAAACAATTATGACCTAATCAACACAGTTTTTACTGGGGGAAACACCATTCTGTGCTTCCCTAAATGAGAATTTAAAAACCCATAAAAATTAAAAGTTGTAGCAGTTTGAAGGCTGGATTGCAAAAATGAACATTGAATTTCTTTATGAAAATATCCTCCTAACTGTGGCAGCATTTAAACTCAATTAGCACCAGCGTTTTGACCATGAAGATTTCTGAATACTAAAGATAACTTTCTCTCAGCCTGTGTGTGTCTCAGGTTTGGCGGATAGAGCTGACTAGCTCTATATAGCCTGGCCAGGATCTGTAAGCCAGCTGGACAGACACCTACAGGTACTCTCTCCTCACTACACTCTGTACCTATGACCAGATTTGACAACATTTAGCAGTGGCCACCTCCTTTTAGAATGAGTTCAGAGGAAAGTGCATCTTTGCTGGTTTGTATTCTGATTAGGGCTCTTGGCCAAGGTGTACAAGACCTAATTTCCACTCCTTTCTTTGCCTGTAAAGAGGAGACAGTTTATCTTCAGGTTCATGTTTTTACCTATCACCAGTATAAGCCTTGATTTGTCAGGTTTTGCCCTGTACTTCCAGGGCAGCATAGAGGTCTGTGAACTAGCAGGCTATTTCTTCAACAGTATCCTCTACTACACACTTACCAACATCTTAGCTTCTCTGCCAATGCCAGAGCAATCCTTCAATATCTGAGCCTTCTAAACATAAAATTATTATTTAGTCCATGACTCTGTAATATGAATGTTACGTATGCTTCATTTCAAGCAGAAGGATCACAAGTAGCCTTTCTAAAATATCAGGGCAACCCACCCCAAGCCCACAAAGAAGAACTGACTAGAATGTGGAAATGAGATCTATCAGGATGTCTCTTACCAGAAAGCTTTCATCGCTGTTTTTTACCTCATCATTTTATCCTAAACCAACTCCATTTCCAAGAAAAAAAGCTTTCAATAAGAGGATGGAAGCACAGTTAATGAAATATTGTCTGCGCTGAGGCCAAAGAAAAAAAATTAGCTGCTTTAATTACCAGCAGAAATGAACCATTTTCTTTGGTAAAAACCTCAATCATGTTTTACAAAGCAATTAATGTTGTGAGGTTTCTTTCTTTTGTTTTTAATGTTACTATTACTCAGTTGTTTTTTCACCTGTTGAACTGTTTAATCCTCAGGGAAAGGCAGAGAGACAGTAACATGTAATGCTAAGTGTGGATAATGGAGTTTTCTAGAGAGTATTCCCTTGTGAGACAGTTGAATGAAAATCCTTGTTTAACACTTGTCATGAGATTCAAGCTG